ATAGGTCATCTTTCCCTTATAGTTCCTTAACCAGTTTTACTTTTCATACCCTTCTAACAGATGCTTTGTAGACCATCACACTTAGCCCTAGTTTATTCCCAGCATAGCTTCTTCTGCCAGCAACTAGTGGGCCATGCTGATTTCTAGGCCAAGCGAAAAGGTAGATTTCTAGGCCAAGGGAAAACTGATTCCACCAGAAGAAGGTTAATGACAGATTTATGCATCTCTTTTTCTATTATTATATATTGTTGAAAAGCGAAACAGAAACCCATCACCAGATAGTCCTGAAATGACTCAGTGACCTTGGCAGGAGCCAGGCTGGATCAACCATCTGATCCAGGACTGTTAGCCATGTGCTGTTAGCTGTAGCTCATCAGCACCAAGTATTTACACTCCTCTTTGTAGCTGGTAGGCTGTATTTCAGGACCTTGTCAAATTAACAAAGAGTACCAGGTCATGCTCACTAGGGTATGGTTCAGAGTACTGGAGTACTCTCTGTTAAGGGCTAGTTTTACAAGCTCCACTAGTGAAACTTGGAGGGACTCAATACTAGAAGTGCAATTGGTCTACCTAGACTGGCAATTGCACCAAGCTCTGTAGAGGTACATAAGCTAATGAAAAAGTGAGTTCTTGTTATGTATTAATGGAAAAAGCACAGCAGGACGAGATATAGACTCATTCAACACACTGCTCAGCCACTCCTTTCATTCTACACTTAATTGACGGTGCCTAAGCAGCTGTAAAACTGACTTGTGACTCTTAATATTAAGCACACATTGCAAAGTGTTTAGAAGAGATGATGTAGTGAGACTTCAAATTCTCCAGGTTTTAATTCGTGTGCACTAGAATATCTGCCCTCCAAGTGAGCAAGACCAAATCTGACACTAGTCAACACCAGAAAGATAAGTACGTCTTCTCTACAGTTTAATAGCATTGATGTTCCAAGCTAAGTGACCTAGTAATGCCCCTGATACTCCCACACACTATAATGATGCCTTCAATAAAGAAGGGAGGGGACTGAGGCTCCTAACATGTACGAAGCATGAGGCAGCTAACTCCCTCATTTCCTCCATTACCAGCTAGAGTGGTAGTACAGCCCGCCAAAACAAAACCTACCTTTGGATGGCTTCATACAGAAGTCACAATCAGAAATGCAATCTTTAGATCCACCTCTTTCTGTGACTAGCACTACAAAGCTACTGACGGGAGATATCCCACTACTGCTGTTTGGCTATGTGCAAGAGCTAACAAAGGTTCTGTGTTGATTAGACACAATCAGTAAGCATCTAAGGCTACTTAATAAAGACAGTATCTTTAGTCCTAGAACTTCTTGAATCACAGCCTGATGAGATCAGTAAGCTTCCATGGGGAACAAAATAAATTTGCTCATTTCTCATACTTTCTCTAAGCAGCTATAGCCATTGTCCAACACGTACTACTGCAGAGGATTTGCTGCCATTGTTCTTGCACCCTTAGAGTCAACTGAAGTTCACTGAGAAAGCGTTCTGCTCCTCAGAACCTCATGTTGGCAGAGAAATACCGAAACTCAAAAAAATCTCATCCCTGGAAGAATACTGCAATGGTTACACAACTTGATCATTTTCCTGCACTACTGAATTTGCTCAGAAGTTGACATTCTGCCTCTTCTCTCTATTCTGCTCCAAAATCAGTCGTGAAATGCTGCTGGCTGCACGGACTGACCTGAAGTTTACATCTCTGCCTATTACAGATAACCTTTGCAGACACAGAGAAAGCAGACAGGAACGTGGTTCACTTGTGGTGGAATTCACTCCCACCAGCTTCAGTGCAGGAAAGCGTTTCCTAACTTAGCAAACAGTTGAGGGGAGGAAAAGGCAACTTCTTGTCTTTGTTGAATGACAAGAGTCGCTAGCAATCAGTTAAAAAGCAATTCAAGAATCATACCCAACATAAGCATCCGATTCAAACCTCTACTGCTCAAGCCATTTAACTCACTCGCTCCTCTCCCTGCCAGCCACCTGAACCACAAGTTTCTTTCTACTCTCAGCAGCAGAACAGAGCTGCCAGCTGGGCTCCTCACCAAAGCCAGGGTGAAGAAGCACTGCTGCTCTCCAACAGCGTCTCTTCTTCTCCTGGTCCCTAAAAAAGCTTCACAGTAGGGAGCCCCGGAAGAACTGGAACTGTTCTCCGATGCATTCCCCTTGACGCCTGCCCCTCAGCATACCAGCAGGAGGGCTGACTGCAGTAACCCACATCCACTCCTCTCCAGTGGAACGAGCACGCATCCCCCAGGAGCTCTGCAAGGCCAGCAAAGCTCTTGGCAGCGCAATACCTGCGGGTGATACACTGCCAGACAGACAAGAAACAGTTTGTCACGAGGCAGCTCCCACTCCCACGTGCAATTTTTGTTCAGGGAACAAATCTGCAGGCGTGCCATGCTAAGTCTTCTGTATCTTGGTGGCAAATTCCATCTCCCCCTACCCACTCCTCTACTCTCTTCACACACAAAAAAGTCTCCACACTGGACCTCCTCAACACCTTTCCTTTTATATGAGTTTCCCTGAAAAGATCAGAGGAGGTGCCTTATATTAGCCAAGCAGCCTTGAAAACGATATTGTTTTCCAAGGAGTTTTACATGCCTTTCATAATCCCAGAAGGGATTTATGTAGTTTCTTCCAGTTTCTCGTAATGCTGCAGTCACAGGCTTACACAGAAAAATGGCTCAGAAGACAGACAACCTGTTAGATGAACTAGAAAGTGAGCATTCAGATCCATTAAATAGAAGTTACTGACAGGACATCTGGACTCAGATCCAGCAGGATGGGAACCCATAAAACCTGAAAGGGACGAGGAAAGAAGCCACCTACAAGCCTGGGTTAGAGCTGTACCAGAAAAGTAAGTGACCTAGCAACAGGAAAAAAACTGAGACCAACAACAGTAATGTAGAACTTTGGATCCCTGGGCTACCAATCACTTGCTGTCCTACCTGCTTCCAAAAGGAGGAGTAAGTAGGTCTAGGTATTATTCTCTGCTCCCTGAAAAGTAAGGGGTTTAGGTTGCTGAGGCTTGGTTTTCCTTGGAGGGGGAAGAGGAATTAGAAAAAAAAAAAAGGGACAAAGTTTTTCTCCAGGTCCTATGCCCACATTAAATACAGCCACCAAAAACACACACTATTAAAAACAGACCAACAGAGCCTGAAGAGAAGATCATCAAGTTAAATCTGACAAGGTTTTTTGGAAAGAAAAAAAAAAACCTTTTAAGGTCCAGTTGGCAATGATTTTAATAAGGAATCTAGGAATTTTCTCAAGGCTGCCATGTGATTCAGAAAACAAGAGCTCAGAACTGCTGCACACAGTTACTGCGACTTCTTTGTAACAGGTTATTAACTCTGATCTTTAGTATAACATAATAGTGGAGACAGATATAAATAAAATCAAAACATATGACTCAAAATCCCCAGATAAGGAGGACTCCGACTGAGAAACTGCTGCCCTCTGAAGCTGTCCAGGCCACCAGGAAAGCAGTCGGACAATGGCTCGTAGAAAGTGGGCCAATCTTAAAATATTAGTATTACAACATGAGGCTTTTCAAGCTGAATTCTTGTAGCTCTGGCAGGCAGGGAGCTAGAAATAGAATACTTTGGATTTAGGATCACACATGCAGAGATCTGCCTGTGAAAAACACCAAGAGCAAGTACCAGAGAGTATTTGAACAGAGACCTAGGAAAACCGTCAAAAAGGGGGAAGAAAAGAGAAAACAAACAAAACAAAACAAAAAAACCAACCAAAAAAAAAAAGCAAGCCCACACACTTGTCAAGAAGAAAAAGGAGACCAGTGGAGATAGTTCACTAGCTTCTTTCCAAAAATGACTGCCGCAGCTTAGGAGCCAGGACACAAATCAATCCTGGAACAGGTAACGCCTTGCTCCCCTTTACAGCAACAGCAATGTCAGATTAGCTGGGAGTGGACTTAGCTCAAATGAGATTTCTCTTTGTGCTGAGCAAAGTCAGGCTGGTCATTTCCTGGGCCAGTATAAAGGGTACCTTAAACTTCTTTGCATTTAACTTACTCAAATTCAATAATTCAAACAGTCTGCTCACCTTGTGGGCAAGTACATTTGACAATGCTCGTAGAGGTTTACAGTCTGTCGACGGGAATAGAAAATTGCTCCTCTGTCAAAAGCTATTTATTTATTTATTTATAAGTAAACAATGCCTTTTAGAAGGAAAGCTTTTTTGCAGACTGCTTCAGAAATCATGTTTATTCACACTTTAAGAGATCAGAGCAACAAGGGAGTAGGAATGTGCTGCAACGCTCTCTTAAAATCACGTTTCTTGCCTGGCAGCATAGAAGTGAAACAGATACTTATTTTGCAATTGTGAGCAAAGAACGTTAATAATAGGCCCACCACCAATTCCTCCATCTGTTCAGCCTAAGCACCAGGACAAGTATAGAACTACCCATTTCATCTTCCACAAGAGCGTAAGGACATACATCCTGCCGTGCTTGGCTTTCAATCTCCTCCTCCTGAGCCTTCATCCCATGTTAAGGTTAAGTATGTTTTATTCCTGCCCAAAAAGTGAGCTACAAAACCCCACCTACCCAGCTAATTATCAAACTTCTTAAAAAACAAACAAACAAACACCACCAAGGCTCTCCCCTTAAAGTATTCAACTGATAGCACTATCATACGAGCGATCCATCGCACCAAACAGTAGTAGCAGGGACCTGGATGGAAAAAAAAAATAAATTCATGTGAGTTTTGAAGCAAGCCTACTGCGGCAGAAGGTCAATGTGGTGGGAAGGCAACAATTAAAAACTGCAAGCTTATTTCTTTTCAACACTCTACCAGAGAGTAACATGCAATTTGATTCTCACCCTTAATTTGTACATTCTCACGGGAATTTGGCAAGGTTGCTCCGAAGAAGAAAGTTTGAAGAACTCTTGCAAAAGACACCATGCTATGCCAGATCAAGCAAGCTATCAGTTATTTACATTCATTCCAAAGGACACAAAGGAAGTAATTTATTTCCACCATATCTGCACTTTTAAAGAGAACCAGTCAGGGCAGAGCTGGTCCTAATACCAGGGCCTGTCAATACAGACCAACCAGCATGGCTACTCTGCAGTAAACATTTAAGCACAATCAGACCAGCCTGAATTAATTCACAGCTACAGAGACTATTCCAGGAGACAGCAATCTCTGGAGGGAACACACATGTTAAGAAGTCATCCTAAACTTGTGCTACCGGGATGTTCCCTAGTGCAGGCAAGTCCTCTGGCTACCAGCGAAAGCGATCCCTGGTCTGCACCTTCCAAGCCACACAGGTGAATTTTTAAGAAGCCTACTTTAAACACAGGTTTCAGGAACTGTAAGGAGGAATATTTGGCTTGGCCACACTTGCAGGATTAAAATGCACACCTAATTCTCCCAGCTATTAAATAAAAGGACTCCTACATTAACACACAGGAGCACACAAGGGAAATAAAGTAACCAACATAATACACGTTTCTTCAGACACATTGCTATAAACAAAACTAGAAAAAACACAAGTCTTGCCACAGGTTAAGAACCCCATCGTGCTTTCTGGAGTCTGAATAATGAGGCGAGGGGGCAGGGGGAGAGAAGAACCACCCTATGCCCACACATACAGTGAAATCCATCTTAATCAGCCAACAGTTAAGTGACATAATTGAGTTTCCCAGATTTGAGCTGCAGATCCCGCAGCAGGGAGAGCAGAGGCTCTCCCCCATCTCTCCTTCAATCAGCTCTGAACCCAAGTAAGATTTCCCCATCAATACCCAAAGGCAGAAAGAGATAAAGAAAACTGCTGCTGCACTGGTCAGCGAAAAGCAAGAGTATGTTCACCTTCTGTCCGTGAAGATGAAATAAAGATAAGGAAACCAATCGGGTAACCCTCCAAATCCCCAAGACTGACTTAAGCAGGAAGAAAGAGATCGAATGCCATGCTGTCAAAGCTCAGCATGCAGACAAAACAGCACTTGAAATTCAAGTGGTAATTTAAATTTTATACCTAGAAAGGCCATTCACCAATTTATAAAGTTCTTTCCAAGGTAAATTTTGCAGTTGATAAAGGTGAACTCAAGTATTCCCCATTAGCTGACCTGTGGGATCAATACAGCTGTAGAGATCTCCTCTTTCAGCCAGATCATCTCCCAGGGACTGAGCTGCTCAGTGGTACTTTGATCAGATCTCCCCGCGTACAGTTCCATGGCACTCCAACGGCCTTCAGTTTTCCAGCACAGCAGTCCACACACCCAATCTGTTTGAAATTTCACTTAACTGTTTCTTTAGAAGCACTTTCCTGCACTGGCCATATAGTATTATTATTTGGCTTGCAGACAGGAACAGATTCAAAAAGGGAAACAAAGAAAGTTTTTTCCTTTCTCATAAGCAAAAGCTTCTGACAGGAATTAAGATGCATTTGTCAGGTCAACACCTCCTACAATTAAGATGGGGCCAGAAAGCCTCAGTCCCGTTCTGATACAACCAATACACAGACTACACCAGAGAGGTAGAAAGGGTCCTGTGGTCCTGGGGGCAGAGGGAAGCCTTGGAAAAATTACCTGTGACTCTAAAGCGCAGCACCAAGAGGTGCTTTTGAATGTATTTTAAGACCCTGAAACTATTTAGGAGCTACAATATCAAAGCATCAATCAAAATAACTGGAACACCACCACAGAGCTGAGGTCGGCCGGCAGAGCCTATGAATGGAGCTAAACCGCCTTGTTTATCTCAGCACGTGTGCGCACACTAAGCCTGAAAGACACCCGAGCAGCCCACCCGCTCCTCTCCGCCCGGCCAGCTGAAAAAGCACGGAGAAGACACAGCCAAGGAATGGGCGCGGATTCCCGTCAGCGGTTCTCACTATAATGGACAGATGAGTGGAAAAAGCAAGAAAGAAAACAACCTTGCTTGGCACCGTGCCCACACACACATCTCAGTGCAGGGGGGAAAAGAGGCCGGGGGCACATACCAGCCGCATATCAACTTTCTGGCCCAGGGAACGTGCAGATCTGGCAGATGCCTAAATATCGGCCACTCTGTCCTGAATGCACCTTCCCAAGCCCCTCCACGAGCAGGAACCCAAGAGGCCTCTCTGCAGTTTCCCTGCCCCAAGAAGGCAGATACTGACCGCCACCGAGTAGCGCCTCCCACCCCCACGCCCCCGCCACAGGCACAAGCCCACCTTTCTTGAACTCCTCCAGCATAGCATCGAGCTTGGTATCGTTGAAGACAAAGTGCAGGGGATGGTTGTAGAAGCGGGTGATGGTCTTGAGTGGAGTGCAGTCATCAGGGTCTACGAAAGCCAGGTCCTTAACAAAGAGTAGGTCTACGATGTTGGAGCGGTCACCCTCGAAAACAGGGATGCGGGTATAACCACTCTCCATGATCTCAGACATAGTGTTGAAGTCGAGCACAGCCTCAGCAGCAATCATGAAGCAGTCCCGGAGGGGAGTCATCACGTCCTCCACAGTCTTGGTGCGCAGCTCCAGGGCTCCTTGGATAATGTTGAGCTCCTCCTTGACTAAATCGTTATAAGGGTCGGTGACACGCAGCATCTCCAACAACTTCTCACGGTTATAGACCGTGCCGATCTCCTGGCCCAGGACACAGTCCAGCAGCTTGCTGACGGGGTAGGAGGCCGGGAAGGTCATCATCATGAAAAACTTGGTGAGGAAGATGGTGTTGGCGCCCACGGCCAGGCCGTGCCGAGAACAAATGGCCTGCGGCACGATCTCGCCGAAGATGACGATACCGATGGTGGAGACCACCACGGCCACCAGCCCGGAGCCGGCAATGTCATCCAGCAGGATGGTAAGCGTGGTGTTGACCAGAACATTGCCCAGCAGGAGGGAGCAGAGCAGGTAGTTGCCCTGGCGGCGCACAGGCTCGATGCGCTTGGCGTAGTTCTTCTCTTTGTCCGTGCCACAGTTCTGCACGATACGCAGCTCCATGGGGTCCAGGGCCATGAGGCCCAGGTTGAGACCGCTGAACATGCCCGAGAGGCAGAGGAGGAGCGAGATGAAGATGACCTGCAGCCAGAAGGGCAGCAGGAACTTCTTCTCCTCACCCACGATCATCTTGGTGTCCTCGCCATCATGGTAGATCCAGGTGGTCTCGCCCCAGGGTGGGGGTCCGGCCGGCCC